TAGTATAATATAATATATTGTTTTTAATAAAAATACTTTTTATTAGAAACTATATTTGTGTCAAAAAGTTAATACATTTGTTTTAAAACAGACATAGGAGATCGGACCTCATACAACAGCTACGAAACACAATTTTCTGAATGCGTCATAAATACGTATTTAACAACCAAGTGTTTATTTCTAAACATACAAAAGACATCAAATATTTCCCAGCTAGTAACAGTTTTTAATGGAAAAAATTTATATATATATATATATCAAGATTATATTTAGCCAAATCGGTCCAGCCAGCTGCCAGTATCGAGTTTTAGCTAGACAAATGGATAGCAATTCATATTATACATCATTTCTTTATACATGTCTATTCAAATTGTAACATTGTTATTGTAAAGTTGTAAACCTGAAACTATGTATGTACTATAATTTTTCAAGCAAAATTCCTGTTATAAATGTCAGAAAAAATCACATAAATCTTATTCGTAGTGAAAAAAATAGTATTTATAAGTTCTTAATAGTATTTATAATATAAATTATGCTAAAGGTGTATTACAGCGCCTAGTACACGATTCATACATTGCGAATACTATTTTATAACGAACAATCTAAAGATAGTTGTTAAATTGGTAGTTAGTCTTGGTAACTAGGCAGATGAGTCTGGCAGTTTGATGGCGATCACGAAAGCAGGTTACGGGCGCAGTGGGCCGCGCGACGGGCACAATTTAATTGAGTTTGCGATACATCACCCGTGGGATGACCACACGTTACAAATTTATCGGGTTATTCCCAACGAGCTAGGCACAGAACTGTTACAAGATATTAATTATGTAGTAAATTACACGAAGCAATTGTTAGCGTATTATTAAGATATAAAAGGTTTATTAACATGACTGGAACTCACGTCTTAGATAAATTATTACATTTATTCATTCATAAGAGCACATGATTTCGTCGCATGTCAATCAAACTTAAATCCAGTTTCAACAGCTGTCCAACCATGTTATCTGTATGAACTTTAACTAACTTCATATTTTGACAGTGCCCAAGACGAGATTGGGACTTGAGATACGAATAAGAATATGGAATTTAATTATGAATACCATAACGGTTAATAGAAAGAAAACTTAATACGCAATATGCAATATTTATCGCTATACTATGTTATAGTTTTAGAGCTAGTTCTCTTATGGTGTTCCGTTCACAATAATATAGCTTGAATTCCCTGACTGGCTTCTTCATCAATTAACACAATACTTTATTAAAACTTGATAAAAACCTTTATATGGTCACCCTACCAGTGTCGTGTAGATAATTCACTCTATCCGTATGATCTGCACGTGTTTCAACATTTTATGGACTTTTCACTTTATCGCGCTTCCTTTTATAGCACTTGGATTTTATCAACTTTCGGCATCAGTTTAAGTAGGATTTGTGTTCCTCTTTAAATATATATCTGACTGGAAGAAAATATACAGGGCTTCTTTACTATGTGAAGGTTTAGTTTCTGCAAAGGCAGCATACGTCTCTAGGTTTGTGCCTACTCTGTCTTATTTTTTATGTAATAGGAGGCTCATCTGATGTTAAGCGATCTTGTTGAAGGCAAACGGGCAGGAGGCTCATCTGATGTGATACCGCTGCCCATGGACACTCACATTACCAGAAGACTCGCAAGTGCATTGCCGTTCTTTTAAGAATTGGTACGCTCTTCTTGAAGGTCCCTAAGTCGAATTGGTTCGGAAATACTTTAGTTGGCAGCTGGTTCCACATAGTGCGCGGCAAAAACTGCCTTATAAAACTCTCAGTAGAATTAGCTGTAACATTGAAATTCGGAAGCTGTAAATATAAGCAATATGAATATATCGTTTTTCTAGCGAATTCGTTTTTGTGAAATGATCCAAATCCATCCTGGTTTGAGAGGGTTCTGTAAGATTCCGAACACAATTTAAAGATTCATCTGTTACAAGAAACATCTTTTATTTTATATCATATAGAAAATAAAATTATATATGGATAACCCCGCTCTTCCATTGATACTACATGTAGATAAATTACTATGGCTCTGTCCAAAGACAACCCATCTTATATTTAGGTACCGCTCACTCTTTTAGGTATGTATGTATTCGAAATTAGTTAAAGCATTCTCTACTATGTCCAACGTTCAGACTAAAGCCTATTAGGTTGCCTGACATCCTTCATTACTACAGTCATTTGCTCAATCTAAAATCGTCGTTTGACCATAATTTTGCAGTCTTCTTTCTTCAAATCTTGAATCTTTACCGGAGTTATTTCAGATATAATTTTTGCTCCGCTTACGTGGTTACCGAGACGCACTTTAGGTGTTTTGGCAGAACTTGAAATTTCGCTTTATATTTTTCACAAAACTTATAAAAACTAGGTATAGATTATGTCATAGTAAACGTCAGTAAAAAGGTATTTCAAATTCCGATGCTCCATTGATTTTAATCTGTGTAATGTGATTAGTCTCGTTAAAAAGGTTTATTAGGAGTGAATACGGGTGTAAAAATTGAATCATAAAATCATCGAAGCGTGTACCATATCCGATTATCTTTTAATTTCGGCTGAGTTGCTCATAAAATTGGATATTGGAATAGGGTTGCTCATCTTATCATCGATATTGTACGAAACGACAGCTTGGCACTTTGTCGAATAGGTACATTTACAGAATATAATTTATACAGAAATTACGATTTCATTACGCAATGATGTGGCAAATTTGTCGTTTTTCCGATACGCAATACTAATTTATATAACCTAGTTGTGGTAGTGTCGACATCTGCAAACTGTTTCCAATTATATGTTTCAAATATCCATCTGTATATTTGTAAATTCGTCTGATCGATTTTTGAATGCGGATTTATTTTATAATATTATCAGGATTACTAGCTCTAAAGCATAATTTGCTCCAGCTCAAACAATTTTTGAATCAATGTTCTGAATGAACTTTTAAGAACTGATCTCTCTTAGCTGTTTGATTAGGGTGTGTTTGTATGGCCTGTATATGAGGGAACGTTCAGCGATCATGAATAAACGCATTTTGATTTTGTAACTAACAACTGAGGGCTTAAATACCTTAGGACAAGTGTCTTTCGCGTGACTCGAAACGAGTTCTGAAACGAGCGAAACTATTGCTCCAGTATGTGAAACGCATTTATTTTCGACGTACGAATTAACGCTCAGTCTCATTTCTGATTCGTACCCAGAAACTCTCATCCTCAAAGGTCGGGTCCAAAGCCTACTGCACCTATTACTGAATATACGGCGAAAGAAAACATTGCAAGAACCAGTTCGTCTAAGATCTCTACAATCGAAGATCAGGGACAGAAGGCGAATAAAACTTATAATAAGTTTTATTCGCTTTATTACTAATATCACATTCACCGAATTTTTAGAAGTATTTTTTGCAACACGAAACGGCTAAGAGGATTAGGATTATTTAATATACCCTTGAAAGTCTGTTCCTAATTCTGTTTTTTGCAATACAAAATCCACTTTGCTAATTAGACCATATTAAGATCTTTTCGTTTGGGCATTAAGGAATTACCGTGTTCTTATTAGCATAACTGCTACTTATGTGAAGTAATGAACTTTAATTCATAAACGTTTGATAGGCGTCTTCTACATCGATAATTTTCAGATCGCTTGGAAATAAGTCTAACAGCCTGGCCACGGGACATTCGCCGACGCGAATATTCGCGCGGTGCGAACCGCGATGCGTCTAGCGACTGAAATAAACTCATAGCAATGTACTAATCAAGCCACGCGCAACGGCGACCAGCGATGCGACCGGCGAAATGTACCGAGCGAATCGCGCGGGCGACTGACGTCGCGACGGGCGAGCGAAACAAATGCATGAATCAGTACGGTGCAAGCCACGGAGTCGAGCGGCAGTCGCGGCGAATAGAGAAGGGAATAAATAAGTTTAGTCGTGGTCGCGGCGAAAAATGAATACAGAGTTTTTTGTTACTGAAATACTGGCTAGACCAGCTATTTGGAAGTCTGGCCATCCACAGCATTAATTTAATATACCTTAATCTCAAAAACAATTTTTCAGCGGAACTTAAAATTCTATTTGCATTAACTTTTTTCTCCAATTCTGGTTGAATATTCATAAGAATATAATTGAAGGTTTCAATACTCATTCTGGTATACTGAAAAAAATAATTCTGGATATATTCTGAATTTCTCATACTTCTTGTGGAATTCTCCACAATTTCTCCAAATATTAGGTCTTGCACCAAAAGCTATTACTTTCCAAGCAATATCGAGATGATTTCGATAAAGACATTTCGCTGTCGAACTTCCTTACTGGTCGCGGCGGCAAACGTGACTGGTCCGTGGCCTGCAAACGGCCCCGCGCGAATGGTCGCCTCGCCTCCCGCATCGCAGTTCGCACCGCCGATCCCCGTGGCCAGGCCGTAACGGTTGTCAACAATAGGAGAAAGTATTCATGTATTTTTATTACGTATTAAAAAATAAAAACTCATGTGCCTGATTATAATTACATTTTGATTGAAACTTTGTAACTACAACTTTATATACTTTTTTCATGGTGCCTTATATGTGCAGACACATTTCTTTGCCTTCAGTTCTCTTTCTTTATATATTTTTAGTATTCATTTTCTTTAAAGATATAGATAAAACTTTGCCTCCCAACTGAAAAAAAATGTTTTGCCGAACTTAGTACCTCAGGGTTAACATCCATTGCTGCAAAATACTTGACTCTCAATAATTATATTCCCATCTTCATTGCATCACTAGTGAACAAATCACAGAATCATGGATCTTTAAGCTTAATGGATTATTTAAATTTTTCCTTGAATAATTCACAATATGTTGTTTATTAGAATCATTGGTTAGAATATTACTAAAATACTTTCTAATACCAATATTTGTATAATTCCTTCTCTTAGTCAGTATATACTAAGAACAAATAAACCGCATTTATCTAATGTTCCATCGATACGATATATTCCATCAAAATAATGGTAAGATTAGATTTCACATATCAGATTGGACGTCGTTGTCGCATACTTAAAACGACCAAAATTTCGTCAAATATATTTATTTGATACAGATCCATAAAAAATTGTTAAACGTATGCACCAAGTTTTTTAACGCTGAATTTATTCTTGATTTAAGGGCTCAATTTCATGAAACGGCCAACTAAAACATCTACTTTTGGCGATATTGCGATAAATATTTGTTGATGAGCTTTCTTTGATTATATTAGTCGTTTACTGACTATGCCAGTGGTGTGAACAGAATAAATTCATTCACATAAATTCATCATCAGATACTGGCTTGTACAAAATTATTAACTGATCTGCCACAAAAACACAGTTTTATCTGCAAAAATTAATGAAAAAAAATTAACAACAAATCTTCTAACAGTGACTTTTTATTTTTGTTTTAATTAAACCAAATGTTCACATTTGTCCACATCGTATAACGCATTTTTAAACAATATTTTCGAAAAACCAAGAAGAAATAATTAAACGGTGGCTGTTTATTAATAGTTTGTGATAATAATAGGACATAAATACACATACAAAATGCAAATATTTCCTCTTTATAATATTCAGTGTTGATGATTTTACAAATACATTTAACATAATATAAACTTATTACTAAATTCCGCCCATACACAAAACAATACCAATTAAAACTGCAAACACAGCATTTTGTAATACAATGACCCCAGATTGCATAACCATGGGAAGTAGGTCGGAAACTTCGTGTTGCCAAAAGATTGCAATTTTATGGTTAAAATTGAAATCAATCTTACGGATAAGTTTTATGACAGTCTTTTGTGAAGTGAAGTGGGATCAATGTATAATATAATAAATTAATAAAAAATAAAAATAGCCTTGATTCGAGTACACTATAACTACAGTAAGTCCATGTCTTTTAAGTTTTACTCTAGTACTCGACCTCCGATGGAGTGAAGGCCTCCTCTAGATTCTTCCACTTATCCCTATTTATTGCGACAATTTTACAGTTTTTTCCCGCTATCCCTTTTATTTCATCTTCCCAAGTGTTCGGTGGGCATCCTCTCTTTCTTCTTCCCACTGGGCACTTCCAAGTAAGGGTCTTTTTGACCCATCTGTCATCACAAATGCGGCCAATGTGACCGGCCCATTTCCATTTTAGCCTTTTTGTATAAGTTACAACGTCTTTTATTTTTGTACGACTTCGCATCACCTTGTTTTTTACTTTATCTTTTAGTTTCAATTGGAGAATGGAGCGCTCCATAGCCCTTTGGCATAAAAATCCAGGTTTGGCATCCGTATGACAGACATGGAAGTATGCATGTGTCCATGACTATTCTTTTAAATAGTTAAGTTATGGTTGGATTTCAGTACTTTATATGTATAATATATATGTATGTAATATGCTGTTTGCTACCTTAATAAATAAATAGTACGTAAAAATATATATGTAATGAAATTATATAATATGTTTAATGGATAACAATAATATATTAAATATAAGTTCATACAACCTAACAAATTAAAGTAGAATGCTTTTAATCGGAATCGATGCCGTAGGTGAAAACCCGTGGCTTCAGAAGAATTTTTGCGAGATTGCAAGGTCTTTATTACTTTTTTAGACGTCTTCTTCGAACGAAAACTGAAACAATTGGTCTTAGTTATCTCGATCACCTATTTGTCTGCAGATTAATTTAACAGATGCAAAGACTTCTCATCTCCTTACTTCATATGACCTTCATCATTACAATCACCGATTTCTGGACTAATAAAGAAAAACCCGAAAGCAGTGCAAACAAATAAATATAAATGTTAAAAATTGATCGTGACGTGGCGTAGTATATTAAGTCACGAAATATTTCTAGTAGAGTATTAAATTTAGAATTTCCTATTTGACTTGAAGTATTTCAAACAAATCTGTATTCTAGACGCAGCGCAGGTAGCACGTAGAATGTGCGATGTAAACAAAGGATAATATAGTTTTTTTCGCACATTTACTCATGAATTACAGAAACCTTTTTACCATAGTAATATATAATAAATAAAATAAATATACATTTCCATATTATTTGGGAACTGGAAAAAGAAAAGTAAACAATTGAAATTGATAATAAGACTGTTAACCAAGAACAAAACAAATCACTTCACAAATAATCTGTTGTGTTTTTGCACTAAGGTACTACAACTTTTTGAATTCATTTTTATCACACGAAATATGCAATGTTTGTTTAAACACAAACATTGTTCACAGTAAATGTGTACCTACATAACGAAAGAGGATTTTAAAATCTTTCGTAGTTAACTCAACGTTCGCATTATATAAAATGTATATAACCAATAGATTATACATTGACATCTTTGCAGCTGCACTCGGAGTACCGCAGCACGTACAGATGGCACGAGTACAAGGAGCAACAGCAGCAGCCCGGCGTGGTCAAGCAGCCTGCGCCCGCGCCGCCCTCCGCACTGCCCATTGCCAGAGGTAATGCGCGATTTTTAATTATTGTTGTTACATACAGTGTGCAACGCCACACACAATAATTCTATCGAAATCGTTCCACAGAAGTATATATTATATATATATAAAGATTAGCGGACCCAACAGACGTTGTGCTGGATGATATTTCAAGCGATTAGGATATTAAACAAAGTATGAAAGTACTGACTGAAGCGACAACTGCTTGGTGTGATTTGTGCATCTAAACCATCCAGGGCGTCACTCAAACACATACAAAAAAATTCATTCAAATCGGGCCAGCCGTTTCAGAGAGCCGTTCAGTGGTATACACACGTACAGAAGAATTATATGTATATATATAAGTATATATATGTATTATGGTTTACATGGATGCTTGCAGTGTCTTCTTACCATATCATACTTATTTATCCATTTTACAATTTGTCTTGCACACTCCAAAGAAACAATAAATATTTGCTTGCTTAATCTTTTTATCCGCCATGTTTCTATAAACTAAAAGCCTCTCATTAATGTTACACAATAACCATTTCCCAACTAAAAATAGCTTAACATAACCATTCTACTCTCTACAAAACCCTTTCAGAAAACAAAACACGTAACGAACTCTCTTGTTTTAGACATTTCTTAAAATAGAAGACCTACTAAGTAATAGACTTCGGACTGACAGTCAGAGAAAGCGATTAACGATTTTTATTGATCCAATACTCTTTTATAATAGTAGCTAATGCCGGCGACTTCTTTCGCATAAAATTCAATTTTATATTGCAACCGAAATATAGACTACTAACAGTGTTTCCCAACCTTTTTACCATTCCCCCTTTCCAAAATTCTTATGCCCCGTTTGCAACATGCATAATCTAGATTATTAAAAAAATCTATTGTTCACTTAAGAAATTACTAGGAAATTGTTAACGAAACACAGTAAGTCAGTTTTAAAGACATGGAACTGAATTTCAAATTCCAAATATTTTACTACATTTTCGAACAAGCCCCCCTTTACAATCAAATTGCCCGCCTTTGGAGCGTGGGCCCCACGTTAGGAATGACTAAAACCCAAAACCCTTTATTTCTCGACGCCAATGTAATAGCTACTATGGCAAAGAAATAGGGTGTGTGTAAGAATTATTATAATTATTAAAATGCATAATAATTACATGTTACATGTAACTCTCTCTATCTCAATAAATTATTTGTTTCGTGTTATATTTAATATGTCTACCCACATTTTTGTTGCTGTTTTGTTTTGTTATTTTATATATGTACCTACATCTGTGCGCTATAATTTCTAATTTTTAATCTTAGTTTTAAATATTGTTTCTCAGTTAGAAAAAAAGAAGACGTCAGAAATAAAGTTATTCTTAAACCTATACTTAAATAGTCTTGGTTAAATCTCTACAAATTTGCAATCTAAGCTAGTAATAGATCGCTTTTCGCCACGCTTGACAACAAGGCCGCGGCCTTAAGCTAAGGGGCGGATCAATTACATTGTTCTAAGATGTTTTTGTTTGTATATGCTTCAGTTGCGAACTAAGGCTACCAAGCGAAACCTTTTATCGTCGTAATATCTTTGTCGGCGTATTTTGTTATTCCTTTCACAAAGAAGTGCAGTTCTGAGGCTTGTGGGCTCAAACTGCTTTCAAAAGCTATGGGGCTGTAATTTTATATACCTATGTTTGTTCTATGAATAAGAAAAGCGTATTATCGTAAAAATAGAGGATCCATGTCTTTTTTGTTCACAGGCGTAATCGAACCAGCACTGCCACGTCGTAAAAAGTATCCAGGGGTCGCGTACAAAACCAATGAGTTCTTTGATCCGGCGCCTTCTGATGAGATCAGACCACAGCAGAACGCCACCTTCGACCGCGCCCGAGTAAGTATATGTATTATACAAAGAAATTCGAACAATGTATGTTTATACGAAGTCTATACGAGTACACCCGTCTATTATATGAATATTAAATTACTATTTACATTCATTATTAGATTATCATACAGTTCGTTTAAGTTCAAAAACGCTAAATACTTCATATGAGTAAAATTACTGTCTATTTATTTCTTACCCGTTGACTTCGAGTTAAGTAGCAAAACGTTTTCATGAATATTTTATAAATTTCATCAAAATGCCTAAGCGGTAGCAGCTACTCATGCAAAAATTGCTTAATCGACGTGAATTGTTGGATACGGATAGTTACATCATTGTCAAAATTACCCTGAATTATCCAAATATTAATGACAAGGCCGAAACTTTGTGTAGTTTAATTTTCATAGCTATATTTGTTAACAAACAGTTTAGTAAATATAATACGTTTTGAAATGTATAATAAATTACAAACGTTTATGATAGGACCAACTATGGTAGTGTAGGAGTTCGGAGGAAGCCCAAGTTTCTAACTTGTTGGTCTAGTGGTGAGGCATGCGTCCAATGGATTATATATGTATACGTAAGGACTCAAAGTTGCTTTTACGGCACAAAAGGAAACCCACATAGGCTTAAAAATAGGCTAGGAGTGTCGTTTTTCCGATCAAAGAAACAGAGCTTGACTGTTCATCATTCGCTGTTTCCAAAGTTTCTTCTTTTGCGTTTGGGGGGGGGGGGGCCAAAAAAACTCACTTTACACATAGTATGGAAATATCTAAGTAATTTGTTTTACCTTTCATAAAGACGTACAGTTTGGTTTTAATGTAGTAGATCAGAAATGTATATATACCATAGTAAAACATACCATATTAAAGCACACAAACAGTTTGATACAGAAAACTTTTATTGCTCCAGTAGAATATATAGTGCATGACGCAAATCCTTGCCGAATTCGACAACCAATTCCTAGCTCTATTTTTATTGGTGGGTTGTAAAAGTTTTTCCAATACGGTTTATAGCTAGATCTTATCTTGAAGCCGTTTCTGATTTATGTTCAGCCTAGAAATTGCTGTACGGAAATCTGATACTGCAATATACAGGCGTTGAATTTAATGAAAGTGATTCTTTAAAAGTATTTGTAACACACCTGTTCATGTGACATACATTTACACATTTATTGATTTTCAGTTGACTATAAAAAGTTGTTTTTTAACAGCTTATATAAGGGGTTAATAAACACCCATTCCTAATAAAGACCTAATCAGTTTTTATAAAAGCAACATTTTTCATACAAATTTATTATTTATTACCAAAATATTACGTATCGTATGTTTAACGTTTTCTCAAATCCAATTATTACTTATTAGGCTGACACATAGATGGCTCCACTAGTATTTAATTAATATGATTTAATATCAGTACTCAGTAACCACGCGTTTACAAGCCCAGCATGTGACTGCGGGGGAAAAAAAAAACAAAGGGTTGCTTTTTTCCCCCTCCTTTTTCCTTTTCTTTCCCCGGCCGGCGAGGCGGAGGAAAATGGGTGGGGAGGGCGTAGGGGGGGACGGGGGACAGGGAAAAATAATAAAGGGGGGGGGGGGGGGGGGGGGGGGGTGGGGAAAATATGGGGGGGGGGGGGAGGGGGGCAAAAAAAAAGGGGGGGGGGGGGGGGGGGGGGGGGGGGGGGGGGGTTCCCACAAAAAAAATTTTATAAAATAGGGGGGGGGGGGGGGGGGGGGGGGGGGGGGGGGGGGGGGGGGGGGGGGGGGGGGGGGGGGGGGGGGGGTTTTAAATTTTAAAAAAAAAAAAAAAAAAAAAAAAAACCACGCGTTTAAAGTTTTGTGCATTCTTACAAAACTCAACATTTCGAAGTTAGAATTTATGTTGAATTTAAATGTTAATTGTTATGTTAAGGCTCCATAATAATATGAGATGATTCACAGCTTGAAGGCTATAGGAGAAAATAAACTGCGTAAGCTCTGCATTGATCGAAGATTGTAAGAAAAGCGGTCGAGTGCGTGTCAGGTCAAGGAGACAGACATTATCTAGTTTATGACACGTTTATTAAAAAAATACATATGTATGCAGGCTTTATAGGCAGCCATGTGCTCCTAAAATATTGGAATCAGTCGAGATTTCATTTAAAAGTCGTTAAAAAGCCAAACAATCGAGATATCATTTTAATATTCTAAAATAATTCGTTAAATTGTAAAAAACTATTATATTTTAATAATGAAGCCATTTTTCTATTTGAAATGTTTGCCGCTTAATTAAAAATTTGACATAAAATGGCATCTATAATTAAAGAATTTTCTATACTGCGACTATATATTATAATATATAAAATTCTCGTGTCGCGGTGTTTGTAGTTAAATTCCTCCGAAATGCCTTGACCGATTCTCATGAAATTTTGTGTGCATATTGGGTATGTCTGAGAATCGGACAACATCTATTTTTCATTCCCCTAAATGTTAAGGGTAGTCCACCCCTAAATTATTATTTTTTATTATTTTTTTATGATACAGCATTAAAAAATACATACAACCCCTAATTTTCACCCCTCTACGATCAACCCCTATTTTTTATTATACGTATCGGTCCCAAATTCTGTCAAATGGAAATAATCATAAAAACAAAATACTGATCAGTTGTAATAGTGATATATCAATTCTTAGTAAATTAATTAAGGAATAAAAAAAGCATAAAAATATTCGAAATAACCTCCCTCATTTAATAAGCCCTTAAGCGTCGCGCAGTCGTCTCCAACACCATATTCGTGTCCATTTCAGTCACTGGTTTTTTAAAGATGACTTCAGATTCTCCAAATTTTCATAGGTTTATCACAGACCTTCCTCTCTAACCCTGTCATAATTTCTGGTCCAAAGATTAAGGTCCGGACTGGAGGAAGGCCAATCCTCATGTCTAATTAACGATGTTTTAACGCTCAAACCAGGCTTTAGTGGTCTTGGCTTTGTATGCAGACGCAGAGTCCTGCTGAAACACAAGTGATGTCCCCAAATAGGGTGCTGGATATGTCTTTGACAAGGCGATACAAAACCGTCTCTTGGTACACTGTACACTGGTTTTGACCCCCTTTTCGAAAAAATTAACCTCAGTTAGCCCGTAATAGGACACTCCACAACATTCTTATGGATATTCCATGTTGCACCCTTGGAACTTTATTTTCAGCTTCTTCAGAACTCTTAGCGTACACTGTATAATTCTGTTTATTGTACTTCTCTTCAATATCGAAAAATTTTTCGTCCGTAAAGAGGATATACGGTTTCGGTTTTCGCTACCGCTTAAACAACACCCCGATCTCTTAAGCCTTTTCTTTTAGACACATTAAAGTAAGTGCCCCCTCCTTTTTTGTATGCTCGTAGACCAAGATCTTCATTTAAAACCCTTTTTACTGTTTTCCTACTGACACCCATCTGCAAATCCATCAACTTCTGTTTTCGGACAGGATTTCTTACTATCCGCGCCTCATAGCTTTGATTACTGCTGGTGTTCTTGCGGAGCGTGGCCAGCCAGTTCTTTTCTTGTCCTCAACACTGGAGACTTCAAAGGTACCTATCAATAGTACCTACACAAACCTAACGTTATATTCAAATTTTTGAGCAACTTGAAAATGGTACCCGGCGAGTGTCCACAGCGGTGCAACGCAATAACAACTATTCGGTTTTACTTTCAATGTCCACTCCATCGTGAAAAATTACGGAAAGTTATTTTTTTTGTTTTAAAACAATAATCAAACATTCCAAAATGAATGCAATAATTTTTTTATAAAATCCTGCTCGAAATGTAGAAATAATGTGCTAGTGACAGAACTTTGGGACCAACTACGTAAATGATATACATGGCAAAACGACGTTTGCCGGATCAGCTAGTTTTCTATACAACAGCTTGCTTCCTGAGATACGGGAAATAGTAGCAGTGGAGCTCTAATACGTAACAGCGTACGTGGTGTGATATATTTTAATTTTTATGTCTTTAATATTTTTTTCTCGTGTTAGACATGTACGTTTTTAATTAGAATAAACTTCCTTAAACCTAAGCATTTAATATAAAACTTCGTGATATTTTTATTATAACTTCAATGAATAATTTTTATTATAGAGCGCACAGAGGAATGACTCGGAGCGCGCCGGTCGGCGTAGTAAATCTGAGGGACCTCGCCAGCCACGATGGACTGACACTGTCGAACCTAAGGTGAAATAACTTACTTTCAATTACATTTACATCAAATTCTACAATTCAGTAAGAATGATGATTACATTGGCACGTCACATAGCCAGGAGTGATCTGCGTGGAAGGGAAACAGTTGCGCATGTAGTAGGGAAAACGTCGTTTTTAAGTGAGTTTTTTTCCGTTTACCCAACATCGCATCTAAGAGCACGGATATTGGGCCGGTATTATACTAATCTCAATTTCAAATAGTCTACAACAACGGTCAAGGAAAATTGAAACCAAATTTTATTCATTCACATGTACTATACGACACACAATACACATAAAGGTACTTAAATCAAATAAAAAGTGAATGTGGATATTAAACGTGTAACCAGGGGCCAAACAATTAATAATTACTTGGCCTTTCACAATATAACAATGATATAATGTGTAAGTAACAGTTGGGCAGATTTTTGTTTTGATAGAATTTTAATTGATTATTCAATATCTAGAACGATACAACGGGTTTAACGGTCATTCAATTTTTATACGACGATTAGTCTTTAGAATCAATATAGGCGATTACCTCTTCGTCTATATATTATATTATCACGTCACGTCATCCTTCCATATTTAATGTGCTTTTTAAACAACAAAATATTTTAAATTTTAAAAAGCTGTAGTTGTGATTTTATTTCTATACTAACTCATTTGCATTCTAACAATCGTTTTGTGCTGAGATTTTCTAGACAAAACTAGGTGAAGTTGGAAGCCTACGTGTCCAAGTGTTAAAAATTATATATAAGACGTTCTATTGATAGTTTTTTTTTTATTTACCTTTCCGCTTACATGATTTTTCTCAGGCAACCACAGCCTTAGGCGAAGTGTTAGCGGCTAAAGAACCAGAACCGGTATCCGTGAGCACGGAGTACCGCAACCAGTTTGCATGGCCTAAAGACACCACTGATGCACCAAGGAAGAGCATCTCTATGGGAGCGCTGAAGAAGGCTGCTGCGGCCGAAGGTAAGATAATTTCTAAGCCCATCTAGCGTATTATGGTTTCTTATTGACAAGTACATCCCACTATTCCTGTATGTACGCTAATTTCCATGTATATATACTATCGACTACGTTATCTTTTACTGTCATGAAGTTTTGCTTTAAATGGGTACGTGAATTCTAAAGGTTTTTTATTAGCAATAACTGCAGCGTATGCAAGTTCGAAAATTAACAGTTACTTTATCCGCATATATAAATGTACCCATTAGAATACAGTATATATTAAGTTTCATAACATAATAACGCTACGAAGTGCAGGTACGTAGTTTTGAGCGTAACAACTTCCCAAGTATTTGCATTGTTAATAACTCGTGCTTGTCACTCCAAAACTTTATTATTCAAATTGAAATTCGTTACTCAATGTGACGCCTGATATCCAATTGCTGAAATTTGATCTATTTACGAAATAATTGTATTATTAATAAAGCGAATTTACTGCGTCAGTCATTTAATATTAGCATTATTTCGTTCGTTAATGCGCTGATTAAGTTTTAAATGATATGATAATTAATACTAAAGCCTTAATGGTGATGTTTATGCTATGGTGTAAAATGCCCTAGTAATAGAAGATCGTCTAGACTCTAGAATATTAGTCTTCATCCATGTTTTTATGTTTCTCGTTTTATTGTATACGAAAAAAAATTGAATTTGTTTAGTATCGGTTTACGTGTAAATCAGTCGGTATTATTACGGACCGTAGATGTTTTTTAGAAACTGTTTTTCAAATCATACCTTTTGGGTTCTTCAGCGTCATTGCCTGTCAAATTATACTTACAATTAGATTTCGATGGAGAGCCTTACTTCATATTTTGACATGACTTGAGGTTCCAAAAACTAGCACAGACACAGCGCACGCTTATAACAACTCAGCCACTTTGAGAGTTCAAAATACAGAGTGTATTAAGGCGGAAACATACTACTAAAACGCGACGCTACACCACGCCATCCGACGCATGTCGGTACTTATCAATCCCATATATTTAATTAGGTTTGGTGCACATATACAACACGCCATGTGATCACACGCGGTAACATCCAATCGATTTGTATCAGCGTGTTGTCGTGTTGTTGACGCCAAGCGTTAAACGTTCGAGTTTTTGGCACAAATGTCAATTTATATACTTACATATTTTTGAATTTATTTATTTGGCGAAATGAAAGACCAACAATTAACTGAGTTGGTGAAACAATATTATGTTCTATATGACATGAGATTAGCTCAATACAGCGACGATAATGTGAGAAATAATGCATGGGAAGAAATAGCCGAACAAATGAATACAAGCAGAAAGTTTTATTAAAATATTATATTACAAGACTTTTGTATGAGTTGCAAGTTTTTAATTTTGTCTACCTTTCCTCACAATATCAAGTTGCTACGGAACGGCGCCTTCACCACCAAAATATTCCTTAAATTTGTTTCTTACTGAAAATGCATACTGTGTGGAATTTCTACGAATTGGATTTATGTCGCGTGTTGGTAATGTGCACGATGGATTTCGGGTGTCGACACGTTGCGTCGCGTGGCGTTTTAGTAGTATGTTTCCACCTTTATACGCACACACACACACCCATTCACATACTCATATATTCACGCATACTGAAGGTCTGATTAGATGTAACACGATGTCGTAGTTATTTTCCTAAAAAAAATTGTTTTAAACATGCGGAATAATTTTAATCTAGTCACCCACAACACTGGGAACACTGGGAACACTGGGAACTAGAGTTAGATCAATTTTGTCACAACAATATTTCTGTCATAAATAAGTATTTTAAACTATTATTATTAATTTAGTTAATCATAAATTAACCAATAATTCCAGGTTCAGTAGAAGCACAGCCACTAATGAACCACGTGGATGGTGAGGACGACCACAAGAGATACATCGAAGACTATTTGTGGAACGGGCAGAAGCCCGCCGTACAGAGGTATGTGATGGTATAGAACTGCCTTTCGATTCTGTAACTCACTTTCCGAACTCTCACTCCCAAATCTTAAAATGAGTGCTTTACGATTTGAGCGCGACCGCCGCTGTGAAAACCGCTGTGAGAGTTCGAAAAGTGAGTTACAGAATCGCAAGGCTGGTACCTAGCGATGGAAACCCAACGTAGATCGTCAATATGAATTAATCTTTTTTTTCTTAGAAACCATAAAACCTTATACTGTTTGAGAGGCCTGCTAATTCCGCAATTTCCATGGCGATTTCGATTTCAATATTACATTTTATCGATATAATCTAATTATTAGGGAAATCAGTCTTCTTTCAGAGTATTCCTGCTGATCATAATTTTGAGTAATATAGTATACCATTACTAATTATTAATTAGACATCCCTATGTAATGTAGTCCTACCAATTTTCTCCGAATATGACAAGAAAATTTCACGTTGCCATTTCATTTACGTTGGTTTTCCATTGCTACAATTATTAACAGCAATTTATAATTAAATCTTTACTTTATTAAAATTTGTTCTCATAAATCTCTAAATAAAATTCTCTATTTTATATTAAAATTCTTATAAAGTAAAGATGAGCAATAAGCCAATTTCATTATAACTTTTTTAAATTTTGTAGTTATTATTGACATTGGCTAAACACCCAGAATCTATATATAAATGAACATAATTATTTTATTTGACTATAGTTCTTTTAATATTACTACTAATAAAATATCTGTTTTGTATTTAATTTATTTAGATTCTGAATTTTAGCTCAGCTTATCCACTAACTCATTTAAGCTTGTATTTTATAGATTTTTTCAAATATGCATGCTTTATCACCAATCAAATAACTTGGGTTTAAGTATCAGTCTATAATTATAAATAATCGCTATTCTGTGGGCTTGTCTCCAATAAACCACGCAAAAATTTCATAACGACAATTTCATTATGATTGGATATTTGCGCGAAGCCGGGGGGGGGATTCCTACTTATCTGTCAATAAACAAAATTATTGTCACTAAGGCTTTGCTTCTGGCTAAGCAGCTTCCGCAGCGCAATCCATAATAGCACAATAAACACTTTCTAATCTACACAAAAATAGTCACGTATATATATTATATTATTTACTCCGGGCGTGAATATATATTGTATATACTTTATAATAACTGTTAACTAGTCTTTTATCTCGAATATTTTTCAGGTTTCAGAAATCGTCACTGCTATGCTTAATGTCTAGTTTTGTGTACTAACCAATGGAAGAAACTTTTACTGAAATGCAAATAGTAAATTAACTTATAATTGTTATAAAAAATGTTAATATTCGTTATTATTTGAAAGTTGGATTTAATTAGTTTTAAATATAAGAATGCCTTGTCAAGAAGCTAAACATATTCTTTATCTGTCAGTTGTGAAAGGCGGTTTTGACCTGCATTTTTATACAATTTTCCTAGATTGAAAATCTTGATATATGGTGATTTATTCCGTAGAAACATATTGTTTGAATTTAAAAAGTCATTCGGGCCAAGGCCATTACTATTCCGTAAAATACAAAGTACACAATACCCACGACCTACCATTGTCAGAATATTGTATGAAAAGTTCTATTAAGAAAAGTTATAACAATATTTCAATCAAAATAAAGTATTATGCTATATGACTTAATATTAAATAGGCTTATCAGAAACTAAAATAACCAATTGCTCCTATAATCAACTTTTAACGTTGGTGTTAATATCAGTAAAGGTTTCTTCTATAGTTGTTCTGCCCTATCTTTCCGTTTCGTATCTACTGGGTAACGCAGAACAAGTCTAAATTTCATTTTTGATATTTGCTTTTATCTAAATCTTCTCACGGTGGCGGTACAAGGCCGAGTAGTTCTAGATCAGATAGTCCGGAATGTCTGCTAATAGATACTTTTACAATATCGATGTGACCTGCACTTTTATCAATGTGAACGTTATCAAAATTGTTTGTTAGATTGTATGTCGTTGTATCACCTAACCCTACAGTAAACACTATCAACCGCGGCTCCTTCTAGATTTTTCGACGACTAATATCCTACCACATTGCGTGCTTGACAATTATTTGAGCATGACCTTACTAACCCGGCTCGGCGCGAGCTGTTTCTTTTGCGCATATCATCGTCACGTCCAAGCGTCTGACTTGAAATCAAATTTTGCAGAAAATCGACGTTCCGTAGCGCGCTATCGGCACTCATATACAATGGAGAGGATCGTTCCAAAGATAATAGGAAACGTTACAAAAGCGAGTACAAAAAGAAATTTAGACCGTTCTCTCAATACGTGTACGAGGCGTCTAAAGGGACATTTACGAAATGCAGGGGTAAAGGGAAGTCGAATGAGGAGGCGAGCGAGAGGTTGGTGGGCGAGATCGAGGGGGGGTGGGGCTAGTGGGATCCGGGGGGTAGGGGCCAAAGCCACCAGCGCCTCTAAGGCTGCCGGAGAAGACAGCGAGAGCACGCTGCGCGCTGCCGGCCTGCAGCCACTCGGTCTGCCGCAAGGAGACTCCTGGTACCGCGAGGTGATGGACTTGCGCAAGCGTGCTGGCGAGTACAAGGTCTGCGCCTCTTCTTAGACCCTTCTCTTAGATCTGCCTACATCTACTACGATAAAAAATAATTATACGTTCCAACCGACTTGAACGCCGTCGTTACGATGCCTCTCTAAAACACATATTATTTATTTTCTGAAATAGGGATTGAAGTTCTCATATCTGTCATAAATTAAGTACCTAACTAAAAACAATTCGATCACATCATAGACAATGTAAATTATACCACAGATCAAATAGTATTTGTGACGTGATATAATGATCATGCTTTCATACAAAGTTGTTTGACAGTACCGCGGCTGGGGAACCGAGCTGGCTCCAGAGCACATCACACAGCTTTACAATAAGCAGATCGAGCTCTGGTACCAAGTATCTCGCCGGTCCTCCCTCTCAGCGCTATCACTCGCTTCCACTAATCACAAGTAAGTGATGCACTAGTTATTTGATACGCACAATCCGGCTTGAAGGACCAAGCTTTTAGGAAAGTATAATCATGGCGATATGATTTCGTAATCTTTTATCGCCGTCTTTGCTGGAATCAAGCCCCCACACTAGCCAATAGCTATTGCAACCAAATGGCTTATATGATGGCTATCTTATTGAAGCTCAGCTGTAGGAATGCTATTAGCATAAGCTCTTTAAATATTTTTTTCTTATGAACATTTAAATTTTGCAGGGCTTTGCCTCGTGACGAAAAAGATGGCAAGGAGTCAAAGAACCATTCACCAAAGAAATTCAGGTCGTTCCGCTCTGCACCGCACCAGTCCATACACGCCAAGCTTCAAGAGACTAAAGCATTGGAGCGTTCTCCGCATAAGACATCGCCACAGAAGCAAAGGAAGAAGCTTCAGGGTCAAAGCTTCGATGAAGGCGCGGCCCAAGAAGGTGAAACGTTTCTTATTTACTGTGTGTGTACTGACGCAAAAGCAAGTGTCCAATTAGAATTAGCAATAGAATTAAATCATAATCAGAATAAAAGGCTGCCTAGTGCCTATGTAAGAAACGCAGAAATTTTTGCCATGCCTGATGCCTGACTACTATACGACTATCTTGTACTTAATATTGCAATTATTGGATAGGAGTTAAAACTGAAGGAGCCTACCGATCTCCAAGGCGGCGGCCTCGCTCGGCTGACCCAGCACCCGTTACTACAAGACATCTGCCCAATGGACATGAGGCACATCCTCGACCTGTTAAGCCTACCGGTTAGTTTTTCTATATATGCTTGACGCCTTTAACAGCGTAGATTTAAAATTGTTTTCTTCTAGAAATGATGTCTTATTTATAAGGTTTGACTTATTTTGAAACGAAACCCGATTAGTAATACTTTCACTCAGAGCTCGTTGTTTGCTTAGTAATGTTCTGACTTTCAGTGATGTTCTTCTTAGTATTTTACAATTCATTCGCATCTGATCTTGTGCTCATTTTATCATCATATTTTTTTTTATCATCTACATCAAACTAACATCGTTTATCTTTCTAGATTCCATAAAATAGTTCTCGATGTAATCCGAATAAGTTTTTTGTGTTTCCTGCCTGATGCCTGTCCCAAACTTAGATAAAATTCTAGTATGCTAATTGTTCTGTAGGTTTGCCGTTAAGTAGGGGCAGTAGTAATAGAGTTAGGTCATCGTCGAGAGGTGGAAGATCGCCTTCCGCGCCTCCAAAATCTGGCCCTGGAACGAATGGGACAGTGGAAGCCAATGCCCTTGAGCAGAACAAAAGGAGTCGCAGCGTCTCTAAAGTGGGGATAAAATTGGGTGCGTAAGAACTTGTGACGGTTGCGTCGGCGCTCTGTCTTTTATTTTGGCGAACAATGCGGCTTTTTCAACTCTAATTGGCCACTTCACTGAAGTTTTTCAGTGTTTCCGGAAATGTAAGTTTTATTTTTGGAAACACAATATTTTTATTAATAAACTGGTTCCACCTTTTCTTCAAAAAAAGCTTAAAAGGTTGAAGGTATTATTCTTTCATATAAATTAAGTTTTCACGTGTCAATTAATAACAGGAAGATAATTAAAATTTGTTGAAACGTATAAAAAGATAAACGTCAATTAGTTTGCCATACATTTATCAAATACATTTTAGAAGTAGTAAACGAAATTTGATAGTATAGTAAATCTCAAAACTAAAAAATAATAAATTATGTTCATTATATTATAAAAAAATACTAAAGTGTGGTGGCGCCCGAGGCTTAAACGCGATAGAAAAAGTAGTATTAATATATTATTAATTGGCTTCTGTGATTCGCGCTTTTAGGCAAAATTTGTCAGTGCGTCTACGCAACATAGTCACTGCGCGCATTGGCACCAGCCTGAATGGAGTTTTATGTTCGTATTGTCCGGTGTGAAACACTGCACTTCACTTACGATAAACAATTTTTGTACGATTTTAATGATCACTTCCCTTGTCCCGCCATCTGGTTTTAGTGTGTTCGGCATGTTTATTTGTGTGTTTAGTAATTGTTATAGGAATGTTTGTTATATATTTTAAATTAAATAGTTTTAAATGTAGATTAAATTAAAAACCTTCCTCTTTTAAATAGAAGTTCATTTCCATTATGATTGACTGATGTGTATTTTTTTTAATTTACTGTTAGTGAACATTAGGTGTTTTGTGTGTTTTTAGGTAAATAATTTACTTCGGCCGTTATTCCAAATTGCGTACAAATATTAACTATATAAACTACAGTTTCAATACTGTTAAACACTTGGTGTACAAATAACAAAATCAAAGTATATGTTGGGATAAAGGCTTCAGTATTTTAGTAGAATATTGATGTTGTGATTTCTAGAATTTATTATGTGTCTACTAACTATAACTTGTAAAATGATAATACCTATCCTAAGTCACTAATAAAAATTATTTCTATTACTTCAGCAGTGATATTTCCAATGGTTGAACAAAATGTGATTTCAAGAAAAAAAATCTCATTTAGCTGATTAAACGATCAATTTGACATATTTTCAGAAGACGATATCCAGGCTCACCGCAGTGCGTCTGTCGCTAAGGACCACTTCTTCGACGACTCCCCAGTGGTTAAATCGCCCCCGGAGCCCACTCGTGTTAAGTCCCCTGAACAGATGAACATGCGCTCCCCCGATCCTGTCAACTGGACAGTGCCACTTGACACTGGCAAGACATTCACTGTGACACAGAATGTCAAAAGCGGTGAGTCACTCATGAGCAAGTTGACAGTTACATTCAAACTGAGTTAGTCTGTCAAAATTTTGTAATGCGCCAGATATATCAAAATTTTTCTAGTAGGCAACACTCGAATATGGAATTGTAAATGTATTGGCTTAAGAGTGTCTTCTTCACGGTGATGGTTGCACAGTATAACACCCGACACCTAATACCTAGGTATACTATGGTCCTTGAATAAGATACTCTTCGTAGATAGACGGCATAATTAAATTTTAAGTCTTATTATATCGATAACACCTAAAGAAATTGAAAAATTCGTCACCCCTTCACTTTTCATACAATTGATTATAACTTAATCCGTTGGTGTGGGTGATAAATTTTTACAACGGAAAGCCATCACACTGTCATTTCACGTTGGAATAGACATGGTAACATTAGCCGTTTTTGAGTTTACGTGTGTATAGCAACCCCACAGTACAGTAGGCTTGCAACACTGACACAAGTACACAATAATCATGTGCCAAAAACCGATCGGCGAAGCCACTCATTAAAATTTCTTCACTCGTTTAGTTATCAAGCATTTTTAATTATGTTAAAATCATTCTTTATTTCTTTTCTGTCCACACAAAGTGTTGCCCGACCAATTTTCACATTTACCCGATAAGATGACAGAACAACAAAGACACAACAAATCATAAGTTACACCTTTTTGCCAATAACTAATTAGGATGAATATCGACAAGTTCTGCAGAGACGGCGTGGAGATAGAACATTTTTTGTGGACGTAGAGAGTAGCGTTGCGATCATCATCAGGCATACAACCACTCACATATTTCAGATGAGAACATAAAGCGCCCTAGCTCTGAGTTTAAGGGTAGCTCTGTGGCGGAAGACGTCGGCCCCGTGAAGATGGCAGGTACGCCGTCCACAGCCACCGCCTAAGCCATCATCATCGATTTTAATGAGTGTCAGTCAGTGTACTCTTACTCAAAGACAGAGCTCACTGCCACACGCACGACACAGATAATATATAACCTGTTTTATATTTATGATAGTTCATGATTAAATTGTGTTAATCCAATAACTGAGATGCTTTTATTTTTTGACCGTACTCCGATGAGACGTCGACCACGTATGTATCCATTTGTGTGTGTGTGTTTCGATGTTTGCGTACACGATCACCGTTCGGCACTCTGTCCCTTTCTAACATTTCTCATCTCATTCACTGCATGCTGCCTGCTCCTGTCATCCTACGACGAGTAATAAAGACGCCAAGCTCTGGATGTACCCGATAGGTTAGATCCTTGGTTAGAGTTCGCTGTTTCCGAATCATCTGTTGCATGATGTTGTCGGGGGAGGGTTTTCTACGTAGATCTTCTGATATATCTCTAAAATCTAAAGCATGAAAATTTCCATATGTGCCAACGCCAGCGGCATAGCTTTTGTAAATTGGCTTTAATATCCCAAATTGGCTTCGAATAAGTAATTCTTAATTACTATGTTTGACAAATTTAGATTAGTACTAGGATATTTACAAACGTAGATTATATAAAAAAATGTTGGTGGCGACTGGTGGATTTTTATAAATATTCAGTATTAAGCATGAATTAATTGAATAATGTATATTTCTCATTGTATTTGATAAGTAGCGTGAATTAGTACCTATAGTTGAATAAATATCAAACTAAATTAAAAAGTAAGTACGACAAATCATTACCCATAGATTAAACAGAAAACCTAACAATGTTTAGCGATTAACTAACCCTTGCTAGATTAAGAATAAATGTGCTTGTTGATGTCAAGCTATGGAAGTTTCAAGCATCTTTAACAAATATTTGAAACTTTCAAAGACGATTACACTTCTCCTTATGATAACACAATGTTTCAGAGATCGCTCCAATCCATCATCAGCAAATGTCGCCAATCCGTTCGCTGAAAAAGAGTGAGTCGCCCACAAGTTTGAGCAAACGCGTGGATAAAACTCCCACCACACCAACTAGCTTGACTCCCATATATGAGACTAAAGCTCTAGATTTAAACAAGGTGAATGGCGTCAACGGGATCAACAGCAACCAGCTGACACCCGAAACACCAATTAAAGAAAGTTTTAAAGAAAAAGAAGTAATCAAAAAATCTACTGAAGCCACTCAGGTGGCGCCAGGAGTGGTTGACACAACGCTAATAAACGATACATCGAGCTCGGGTGGATTGACAGCGGCTGAGGTATTAGACCGTGCCCGATCCAGGTTTGACAAGTTCTGGGGAAAAAAGGAGGATGATGTGTAATCTAACAGTTCAAGCGTTAATTGACAAGAACACGTAAAATTCGAGGGACATTCTGTCTCCCTGGACGTGTATGTCAATGAAGGAGACAGCGTGTGGATTCGATACAGTTGTTCACACAATGCATTTAATAAAGCAATGAGCTATTCTCCTATGGTTATAAAATCGCAAAATAAAGTAGGTCGGTGCATAGCTTCGCTTGTATAAGAACGATTATTGTATTTATATTATTATTTATTATATAATGATCACTGTCTATTAAATAGGAGTGTGGTGGCTTGTGATAGTAGATACGGTCTGGTCGAAGTAGAATAGTAAGAATAATATACGTATTTATGAGACGAGAAGTTTATAACTAAAGTTCAGGAGATAAGGGTCAAATCAAATTTTAAGTCTCTTAATATTGTCATAGATACATTAATTGACTGTTCAGAGATTTTCTGGAATAGGTTGATTTTAAAGAAAATATTAAAGACGGATGCTGGCATTTATTAAAAATAATATAGTGTGTTTAGTTATAAACTTCTTGGTAACGATTACAAGATTTGGTGAACAATAGATGTTGGACTTATACAACATTGTTATTATTAAGTTGCGAATTGTTATTTACCTACTTCAATCCTATTTATGCGCAACTATTGCAAATATTCAAAGCATCAAATACGTGACGCAACGAAATAGTATCAAGCGGCAAAGGTGTCTGTCTAATTATTTTTTAATTCAATTACTAAATATTATTTGTAGATTCAACTTAACAGAAATAATTAACAATCACAAACGTATTTAGCTTTCTCAGAAATTTCTTTCTATTCAGACATCTCCGTCCATAGAAAATACATGACAGAAAATTTAATTAAAAGCCAAATTAAATTATGGGTCAATCCATTCATAGTTCATCACCATCAATTTCATATGAAAATATTTCTTAGTTTCCAAGTGAGGGTCTAAATTAAAGTCTCGTGAACTACATTGTGGTTGTTTATTATTTCAGAATTGAAAAAGCCCTTACATTTAGTTTTGTTCATAAGTAGATAACTATTTATAAATTACCATGGGCAATGTATACTTTCTAAATGCATCTGTTAGCCGTCCAACGTAGTATTTTTTGCGAAGTAATTACAAAATATATTTTCTCAAATTATTGCTACAGCTTTGTAATCTATGGATGAAAGATATATTTTATAACAATCTACAACATTATTCTTCTTCTATTGTATCTGTGAATGTACTTGGTAGTAAATTGGCGGGAAATAAACGGCCAGAAGCCAGCTTAGATAGTTCTTCAATAAGTTATTTGATTGTAATTGATTTTAAATACGAATATTCCTATAGTGTTTTTATCGAAAAACTTCGTAGTTACCATGGATATTTATCCAGAGCCTTGCCGGATATGTTTATCCGTGTCCGAATTTAATGTATCTTTATCCGGTAGGTATTGTACAAAAAGGAATATGATAGCCAAAATATTGTTATACCTGAAGATTATTATCGCAAAAACGGACAGGCTGAAAACAATTTGCTACAAATGTATGGTAAGCATTGAACAGATCGATGATTTTATAACGACCATAACCCAGTCTCAAAATAATTTCGATAAACATTATTCAAGACCAAAGAGCCGTTCACCCAGCATTAGCGTAACTTCCTTCGCTCAACAAGAAAATAATGCCATTCTCAAAATGAAACAGTCGAGTCCATTCTTTTCCTATTCGCCGCTAAATATACTTGTAAAACCATCGAATCATCAGTTTTTGACCTTTGACACTCGTTTACATAACGTTAAAATAGATAATCAAAATGATAATTTGCAAATGAATCCAGAAGCATCGAAACACCTTTCGGTCGATATATTTGAATCTCAGTCTGACCACGAGGATGTGGACTTAAAGCGGCCAGATTAGAAAATGACTTCAGACGCGAATATAATCAAAAGAGTAAATGTTATGATCCATCAGTCAACTGATTGAATTATTTTGCATTCTATGGAATTCCGTAGAGACAGGGTAACGTTAGAATTGATTTAAGTAATTTCATGTAGATATAATAAACATAGGTGCCTATTGTTTTATTAATAGACTAGCTAAATATATTTCAGTTTCACAGACAATATAAGTAATCACAACTTTGAATTTTTGTAAGTTAAACTTTCTCTATACCCGTAAGATTATTAAAAATTTTATCGTATAAGAAATTTGTTAATACTAATTAATATTTGTGAAATTGATGTTACTTGAATTAATAATAAATGTCATTGAAATTTCATTTTAATTTAGGCGTTCAATACTAATGACCTTCGACCGTAAACGTGACCCCATAATGTCAGTCGTATTCGTATGAGAAGTCATATAACAACTAATTATAATTAAGGATAATAATTGCGACGGCGAGTCACGCCTACGGAAAAAGGGTTTTGTCTCAGTGCCCAGTATCTTATTTCAAGCATTGAATTGTTTTTTTGCGCACAAAATTTTTTCCGAGGTATTCCTCCTCGACATATTTTTCATAGCAAGAAATAGCTTTGCTACAAAGTTAAGCGTTTAATTTTTCTGTTGTAATTACATCAAAATGGACACCTTAATAAACATTAAAAAATGGGTTGTTTTTCTATAAATCAGCTACTTCCCTACTAAATTAATGGTCAGTCAATGTTATTGGAGCACCTTACCTTACGATGGCGGATAAGGAAACTCCACCCTTGCTCTATCAAGGGTCATCACAAATCATTCATGCCCGCGGTGAACCAACGATGAACGGTGGTATATCGCATGGCGGGGCTGTCACCGCGTTCCGTCTAGATGCTAGAGCGAGTGTTGGTAGGTCTTAGTGGGTATGCATATATCGCGAGTTCCACATACCCCCCGGCCCAAGCAGTCACACCGCGAGATGCGTATTGCATGTCCACATCAAAAAAAAGCACTTGCTTTAGTTGTTGATATGTAATAATAATCCAATAATATTCTCATGAATTTTCTTTGATTTCTTTTTCACCGTGTGAGCAACTATGATGAAACATAAATGTTTAATGTTATGATTTCATAATTTAACTTTACCTCGGAACGAACATCTAAAACTTCTAAAGAAGAATAGGGGAGAAGACATGGTTTATTTGGGTCTGCCCTGTATGCATTGAATACCACTTTTCTGAGCACATAAAAAACAAATTTTAAGAACAATGACTTTATTTCGTATTTGTATCAATTCGTACACATATTCTAAAGAAAATATTTCCTCATTCACTATAGACAGTTATTGATAAATCACATTTATTATACACTAAATTAATTTTACAAATTAAGCATTAATTATGGCAGGAAACAACACAGAGATGAAGATATGACGTCACTACACATTAGCTTAACCATGCTTTTAATAACTACCACTGACCCACTAAGCGTGTTGTCTTAATAAATGGTTGACATTGATACATCATTATAAGCTAAATTTATAGACAAAAACACATATAGACGTGTACCAATATTTCAGAACAAACATTTTATACGCGGATATAAATACAAAATCAAATAAATTTTCATGTCACCACAATACCTGACCCCAAAAAAACAACGCTATCCTGTAAGTTATGACAGACGGGTTAGATCAGTTCGTGGCACTATGACAATCAAATGCTAGAAGGCCAGTGCCTATTCATACTATTTCGAATTATACATTTAACAAGCCATGTGCATAAAAAATACAAATTATATTTACTTTAATATAATTTTAAATTATGGTCCCAAAACAATGTAACAATTCATTTTAAATAATTTAAGCTTAAACAATATAATTAGGGTAGTTAAATTTAACCCTGTCTCACCATCACATAGGAAGAAAATGTTTCACGTTAAACTAATGAGTATTTTAGAACATAGTTTTTACTGAACAGTTAAATAAAACAAGTTTTTGGAATGTCTTTATCAAAGTCATGGAGAATGAGCCGAGCATAAACTTAAATCCATGATATGGAAAATTTTCCTTAGAGGTGGTCCAAATTTGTATTCTACGTCCAGCAAATCTAGATCTTATGACTTCCAAACAATACTGATGCAACATTGCTTTAAATATTTGTGTATTGTAAATATGAACTCAACATAGAGCAATGAAGACACCATTCACAATGATTCAAAATAATAATGAAACAATCCTGTCAATAGAGGTCATGGTATTATGAAATTTCCATTGAATAAATAATATAACATTAATAGGAACAACAAAAACAATTTCGGAAGACGTCACTTAATTCGGAAAGCAATACAATCTGCTGATTTCTATAATAAATATGCAATCTATGGCACTAAATTCATGTGCGTGTTTTAAAAGCATAGACACAGAGAATAAATTGAGCATTTTTATGACATACAAAACAACTGTTTCTTTCTCACAGTTAAAATGAGAAAGAGACAGCATGCTCGACCGTTACGAACTGCCTCTTAACATTAGGCAATAAAGACTGTATTTCAATACACGAGAATTAAATCTAATTTTGAATCTTATGAATCCCATTCCATTCTTTATGTCTATTAATATGAATTGAAAGTGAAAAGAAAAGCATAGTTTATATGTATTTAAAACTACATAGTATGAAATGAACGTGAAGTCTCAACTATAAAAATAAAAACCTAACAAATGTTTAAAAATACTATCACAATTAGTAGATCTAAAATCTAATATCTATTCTAAACGAGTACAAGTGAGATAAAAACGTTCACAAAAAAATAATTACATCTTTAATAATGTTATATGCCTCAACATTAATACTGAATAAAATATAAGCCTGAATTAAGATGAAATTGAGATCTTTTTATTTATTAAGGACAGACAAGCGAAAGACTCATTTCATATTATTTTACATTGAATTCCGTCCCTAGTATATTCTTTAAAAACGTATTTACTACATAAGGAAATTCCCTAACATGCAACAATATTAGTCCCTAAAACACGTGGTTCTTTATATGCTTCTATAGAAGGAACATAATATATTACATACAGAACTCAGGGTTTAGTAAATTTAGATAACCCTCTTTACGTGCATTTTTAGATACTTAGTAAATTTTTAACATTAAAAAAACTTATATTTCTCAGCGATTATAAAATTATGTCGCGCAATTATTTTGTAATAATTATTGGTACGGGTGGCTATGCAAAGAAAGTACGTACGTACACACACCCTACCCAACACGAACTACATCATTTATAGAGATTGCACGAACACTGCTCCGTTAAAAAAGTACACTAACTACTGCGTTCTGGTGAAGTAGAAATTGATACTCAAATTACATAAGCTCTTGAAAAATAAAGTATATAAAAGGCTCGTAAATATAGCCGTATTTAAACCATTTCTCAAGCTTTAACATTGGTTTTACAAAATTTTATTATAAATATAAGTTTAATTTATATGATATTGTAGTATTTCCTTAAACGAAGCACAGTTGCAGAAAAGCAAATATTTTTAAACAATTCATGTTAAACACTTTTTTCTAGTTCCTAATAAATACCAGAAAAAATCTACTCATTTAAGCATGTTTATAAAATTGTACTCCATTTAGAAAATACGAAAAACACTTTTTTTTAAATGTATTTGCAAATTTCTATGAAAACACGTTTAGAAGGATGACTTATCAAAATATGTTTTGTATTATAGTATCGTGTCATATTAAATTGAAAAACCACTCTTTGCCAACATTGAAAAACTCTCATAAAAACCGTACAAAGACAAACCACGCCTACAAAATCCAAATTGACCAACCACAGTTCTAAATTAGAATCGATTGAATAACCATTGACAAACATATATTTGTCTCCTTTATTTCTCACCGGATGATGAACTTGATGCCCTTCCTCGTCCCTTTTTCATCTTTTTCTCATCTGGTTCCTTGTCGGTGGTGACAGAACTTTGATCAAGCTTGACTGGTATTTGTGACTGGGGCAGCGGTATCGTAGTATTCTGGAATTATTTTAAATCAAACTTAATTAGAATTCAGCAAAAATTCAGAATAAATTCAGCAAAAATTTAGATTTTACGGGACATTAACGGTTAATAATAAACTAATTTAATAGAAAATAATTTTCATAGAATCAAATTAATACCTTCTTTTTAGCATGTTTGTCTTTTTTCCCTTTGTGATCTTCATCGTCTCTTTTTCTGCTCATCACTCCGAGAAGTTTGCTCACCACACTCTTACTTCTGCCCTCACTTGTCTCCGCCTCTGGAGACTACAACAACGAACGAATTTTTATAATAACAGCACCGTATACAGAGAAAAAATCGTAAAACGCTTAGTTTAATATAATAATATGTAATTAGTTATACTAATTATAAAAATTCTACTTTGATAGTTATATTTTATTAAAGTGCATAATTAAACAGAAAACGACGTAACAAGGGAAACTTGCGAGCCTTCTAGCAATGTGAGTGTCCATGGGCGGCGGTATCACTTAACATCAGGTGAGCCTCCTGCCCGTTTGCCTCCTATTACATAAAAAAAAACATTGGTTTACATTTTTTTGATAAATATTTAAATTAAATCAGGAGTTAAAAATCAATAAGGGGTGTTATAAAAATACCTTGATCGTCTCAACCGATTCTTGTTTTCTGAACTCCTTCTTTATGGACTCAGACCTCTTTGCTTGCTCTTGTTTTTTCTCAGCTTTCTCTTGTTTCTCTTGCTTTTTCGCTTCTTTCAACTCTTTCTCTCTTTCGAGTTTCTCTAATTTCAGTTCCTTCTCTCTCTCTTGCCTTTCCAATTTTTCTTGCTTCGATTCTTTTTCTCTCTCTTGTTTAGTTTCAACTCTTTTTACCGAACCACTTCGTTCCATTTTATCCCTCTTATCATCTTTCGTTTCTTGCGGTTTCTCTTTCTCTGGCTTCTCAATCTTCTTAATCGAGTCTTGTTTCTTTAGCTCCTTTGGTTCTGATTTTTCTTTTTTTATCGAGTCTTGTTTTTTCAAGTCTGATTTATCTTTCGATTTTGTTTTCTCTTTTGATTTCAAATCTTCATCTTTCAGACTAGAATCTGACTTCTTGCGAGTTTTGACTTCCGGAATGCTGGACAATTCTTGCGTAAAGGAGAGTTTCTTATTTATATCAGACACTGTAAGACTTGTGTCTGTACTTGATCGGCTGTCTGTCACCGTGAGGTACACTGAAAATAATAAAACAATTCTTAATTAATTATTCGAAAATTACAGACATAATTCTGAATTAGAAATACTACACTTTTCTTACATGGCATTTCCCTCGATGTATCAATAGTTGAAGCATCCATACTAGAGTCTACGAATGACTCGTCAGAAAGAGAGAGGGACGCGAAAGACGTGTTAGCATCGAACATCGACTTGCCCTGACTGGCTTTTGGCGATGAGGTGAAGATACTCGGCGTGCTCTGTTTTACTGGCGTCCTGGTTTATGAATTCAATTCAAAATCAATAAGTTTCACAATTTTTAATAGTGTAGATAAAACGACAACTCGCTGTATACGAAAAGAGTAGTGAAAGAGCGATACGTTAACCATTTTCCCCAATAATTAAATGGAAACTTAACAATCGTTTTGGGATTTAAAGTAGCAAGTTTTCATTAACGATAATTTTAAACGTGATACCTACCTCATAGGCAGTCTAGCAGAATGGTGCGTGGGAGAATCTTTCTCCTCCGCGATTCTTGGCAAGAGAGGTTCTTCTTTATCTGGAGGTGGAGGAGTGGGAGGCGCAGGTGCGGGGGCTCTCCAACTTCCTCCTCTTCGGGTAGTCGCGACTGTGGTCGTACCACTAGTGCTTACTCCCCCACAACAGAGTGGGGATATAGAGCACTTAGATTCCGCTGAACGAGGATGTAACCTATTGAAAAGAAGAAAAGATTAATCCAATTTAGTTATAGTTTATATCCCGCCGTTTCAAAGCGCACCTGTTTGAAGCTCTCAAAAACCAAAAAGCTAACATAAATAATGAAAACAAATATAAAATACAAGAAACATTAAAATGATAAACAAATGTATGAATAATTCAGCTAATTTTAAGCTATAAGAGAATTGAAAACCAGAATAAAATGGTGAAATTCGAAAAAACAAATAACAATATGAAATGATATGATAACAAACCTGTCAGGCGAAAGAGCGCGTCTCAAAAGCGGAGATGCTGGATCACGACGCGGCCACGCGCGACGACATTCACGTGTTGCTAGAGGTGATGGACTGCGTGCTTCGCAGCCACGACTATTTTGTATGAATGAACGATACATTAAGCCCCACTCCGGTACAATCACAAAGGCACGACATACGAACTTAAAAGGTATAGTTTTGCCAACTTCCTTGCACACTGAATAGAGTACGCGAAAATATAGTGTTATCGGAACGGAATAAATTAGTGAAAATGAAAAGTCCTCATGTTAGTCACAATATTATGAAAATATGCAATTTATAAAAACATTTACACTTTCAAGTTATTGAACATCTATTATTTAAAAGTTTAAAAAATAATAGTATATAAAATAAATATCAGTGTTAATTTCTTTTATAAAATATACATTTTTAATTACTTTGGTATAATTAAATATTTAATTACCTGGTGGGAGAAGCCGGCGCTGGCGCAGGCTGGGGAGAAGGTGAAGGGGTTCTCGCGAGAGGGGAGAGGGGCATATGCTGAAGAGACGCACGGCGAACCTCACCCGCGCCTAGCTTGTGCTTTAGCCCGTGAAGGGATGAAGGCCTGTTATATAGTTAGAAAAATATTATTATTATGTAATATTCACCGGCCTGTCCGTATACCCGGATCTACAAGCAAAAAAAATAATATTAACAAGTAGTTATATTTTTTGATGTGAAACATCTATAGCCGCACGTAAAACCGATTTCTGGCGTGGCGTCGCATGCCGTGGCGACGCGTCACCACGCTATATGATGGTATATATATACAGTCTATATGCAGTAGTGTGTACGGTGTGTGTATTTCGAAGTCACTGATTAAACGAATTTAAGCAGTCACG